CGTGCCCTGGGGCGCCGGGCGGCTGCGGCGCGGACACGGCCCCGAGCCGGACTCGCCCTTCCGCCGCAGCCCGCCCCGCGGCCCCGCTTCCCCGCAGCGCTGAACCTTGCGCCCCGGACCCCTGGCCGCCCGCGTCAGGCCATCGCTCAGGTGCAGACCCTTGGATGGCAAGTGATTGCTAGAAGGACGGCGTCACCCACGAGGAGGGCAGACGGACAGACGGCAGGAGGAGACTGTCGGGGGACCAGGGGCCCGGTGAAGGAGACTGAGGTGCGGTGCTGGTGGCTGGCTGGTGCTCTCTGGGGTACAGTGTGTGCGTGTGGGAAGGGGTGTAGGGCCGGGGATCTCCCTTCCCCGGGGTTTCTGACATGGGTCCCTAATAATTCCGTGGCCGTTTCTCGAAGACCACCTAGGGTTCGTGCCAGGCCAAGTGCCCTTTTGGAGGGTGCTGGGCTTCAGGAGGGATTTAGTGGCAAACTTTCACCAGGGGAGCCTGCTTGCAAAGTCTCTCCTGGATCTCTTGGGGCTCCTGACCGCTGTTTTCTAGCACCGCCCAGCTCCATCCTTCAGGGAGGGAAGAATAATGAGGTCCCTGGATGGAGTGAGGGCTGGCACCATGCTATGACTGAATTCTTCTCTTCCCCTTTGTGGAGACAGGATCCACAGCTTTTCTCACACTCATCCAGTTTTTCTGATAAGTTGGTTACTTCTGTTTGTAGCCTGACGGAAGTAACCTGAATGGGCTGTTTGTCACCTGCTTACCTAGTGCCTCCCTCCCATCTTTAAAATGACTCTGCCAGGGATGGAGACTGGTGACACTCATTAACAGTCCCAAGGAGGCAGGCAAGGCATGAGCTTCCAGAAAGGGGGGCCTTAAAGGGCCAGGCTAGCAAAGTCCTCTGCTTCTTTCTGACTTAGATGCCCTTCAGGCCTCCATTCAAATCTGTCCTCATTCAGGTGTGAGTGGCCTGGCCACAGCTTTGCTGCTCACATCTGATGGTGAAGTGTGTATCACCACCTCCCAGGAGGACTGTGGATAAGTTAATACAGGGTTCAGGGTTCTCTTCCTCTTCTGTAAGTCATGGTAAGATAATTTACCCTTTTCAATCACACTTAGAAACAGGTGCTGTCTCCTTGCAGCAGCTAATTTAAAGTCCTCATTTTACAGAATGGAGATGAGATTCTCAAGGTCACATGCCAGTGTGAGAGAGAACCATGTCATAGGCTGTGTGTACCCTTTCCATTGTATTCTAGCTCGGGAGAACTGGCCTCTGAATCCTGTCTACTGTGTGACCTAGAACAGCACTGTGCCATTTCTGGGCCAGTTTCCTCAGTCATCTTCCTCTCTGAATATTCTTGTCCTCTTGCCAGGCTTGAGAATGGAATGAAGAGGGGGCATGATAATGCCCCAGTCACAAGAATTGTGTTGGATATACTGTGATAGGCAGGGGTCTTCAACCCACTATCCCCATCAGGCCTTCCTCTCCACAGGTAGCAAACTTAATGTCTGGTTTCTCAGAAGGCCTTCTTGAAGCCTTCTTAGCTGGGGAAGGGAGGCCCAGGAGATCTCAGAGTTTCTAAGAAAGTCATGGAACCAGGGGTCGCGGGGGCCCCGACATGTTCTGGCCTCCTCAGATAGGGAGGATCTATTGAAGCCTCTCGGGTTATTTGGAATTCAGAGGTCCAAAGAATACAGGACTTCCTGGAGGTGACATGGCAGGAGCTCATGCTGCAGCACTGGGCGGCAGCCAGGACTGCTTGGTTTCTGGGTTGCAGGGGATGGGGCGCTTGGTCTGGAGAAGCTTTTAGCTAATGGCATAAAGTGCTTTCTGTCATCACAGTTTTGCCTTTCTCTGGGATTTACTGGTGGTAATCAGCTTGCCCTGATTTGGAGGTGGGGGGTATATGGAGAGCGATAGAGATGGCACTTACTGGAGAAAGGTGTATGGGGAGGGTACATGGAGATACTGGTCCTGGTGTCACAGGCATCTCTGACCATTCTGTCCCCTGTTAGATATCACATTGCTTCCAAACAAAGGCCTGGGCCAGGGCACACAGCTCAGTGACTTGTACCTCAGGTCATGGTTAGTGCTTCTCCTCAGCCCACTAAAGTCACCTTCCCACCCTACCTGGCCCTCATGTGTAGAGTTCACAAATTTAACTCCATTTTCTCCTCACTCATCAAATAAGGTGTTTCAGGAGGAAACTTGAATCAGAGAGTGTTGTAAGGGCTTGTAAGGGCTTGCCTCTCAGCTCTCTTCCAGGCTGCCTTCCCTGACTGTCACCATCCAAGGAGTCCATCTGGAGGCTGGGATTATGTTTTTATATTTATTTATGTATTTATTTATTATTTTGGTCTTTTTTGAGACAGCGTCTCCCTGTAGCCCCAGCTAGCCTGGAACTTATGTAGACCAGGCTGGCCTAGAACTCACAGATCTGCCTGCTTCTGCCTCCCGAGTGCTGGGACTCCCAAGCTCGTGTGCCACCATACCCAGCCTATATTTATTTTTTTATGTTTTGAGACATGGTCTCAAGTAGCCGAGGATGGACTTAAAATATATGTAGGTAGCTGGGGATGACCTTGAATTTTTTTTTAACATTCATTACTTATTTGTGTGTGTGTGTGTATGTGTGTGTGTATACACACGTATGTGTGTGGGCATGCAATGTGCCACAGTGCTGTGTAGAGGTCAGAGGACAATTTGCAGGAATCTGTCCTTTCCTTCCACCAAGTGGGTCCAGGGGATTGAACTCAGGTGGTCAGACTTGGCAGCAAGCACCTTTATCTACTGAGCCATTTCTCTAGTCCCAACCTTGAAATTCTGATCTTCCTGTCTCCATCTCCTAAGTGATGGAGGTTCCATATATTATCATGCCCTGTTTATGTAGAGCTGGGATTGAACCCATGCTCAGCAAACACTCTACCAACTGAACTACATCCCCAGACCAAAAAGTCCTTCCAAACTCTCCACCCCCTTGTTTTTCAGTGTTAGCTCAAACCCAGGCCCTTGCACACTCATAAGCATTCTACCACTAAGCGACATCCCCACCTTCTGAAAACATTCTTTTTCCTCCTCATGTGACTTCTGAATACTTTTTTTTTTTTTTTTTTTTTGAGATAGGGTCTCCCTGTATCCCCAGCTGGGCTGGTCTTGAACTCATAGAGATCTGTCTGCCTCTACCTCCCTAGTGCTGGAATTAAAGGCCTGTACCATCATGGTGGGCTGAACAAGCCCCAAGTCTGCAGACTGGGCTGGTTTCAGGGGTCCTGGGAATCTGTATATCAAGGACACTTAGGTTCACCAGTGGATTGGGCTCTCAGTAAAGAGAAATGAGGGGATCAGGGGCCTTTCTTCTGGCTGGTTGCACTGCTCACCTAGGCAAGCCTTTTCCCTTGTCTGCTCCTAGCAGTATATAGACAGCACCAGCAGAGAGCAGTGTGGGGCTGCTTCAAGAGGCTTGGGGACAGGGCCTGGAGCCTCCCTGTTCTATTCCTGGTGGCCCTGCCCCCAGCCATCCCCTTCTGGAGTGGTTCCTAGGACTTTGAGCTATAAGGGTCTGCAAAAAAAGCAATGGTGTCGGGTCCCCAGGCCTTAGAGTTAGAGTGTGGTTCCAGTGATGCCTTCCTGAGTCTGCATTCATCACTGGCTCCCTGGGGGCCCAACTGTAGGAGGGATGCAGAGGTGGTGACCCCAGACCTCAAAGAGAAAATCAAATAGGTAAGATTTCCTCGAAAGAGTCTGCCCCCTTTGATCGTCACCATCTGAATAAAAGCCCATAGGCATTTCTCTATTCAGATTTGTTACACTGATATGAGCACCCGGTCCTGCTACCACCTAGCAACCAAGGTGGCCTCCCAAGGATTAGGCTGAATGATGGATGCATCAGGCTGAGGTGTTCCAGACCTGCAAAGGGCAGTGTCCTGAGCTGACAACCTGATCCATGGAGAACCACTCACCTTCCCTGGTGTCTCTGGGCCCCACAGACTCGAGGCGGGGGAGGAAGTATTTGGGAAAGCTGGGAAGTTCCCATCCTATTTCTTCCCCCATTATTCCCTGACCACACCCAGGCCAGAAGTGATGAGGGACGGGAGCCCTTGGTACCAGAATAATAAGGGAACCACTTCCTTCACCACTCCAGGCATTGTGCCAAGCACTTGACACCCACTGTCTGTTCACATACTCCCAAACACTCTGCAAAGTAAGGGTTATTTATCCCCATTTCCACAGAGGAGTCTGGATCCTGTGGGAACTGTAAGCCTTAAACTTGAGGCTCTGTGGCACTTCATTCAGTGAGCTAATGACAGCTCCCTTTGGGGGATTTCTGGGTTCTCTTTTTGTGTGTGTGTGAGACAGGGTCTCCTTGTAGCTCCAGCTATCCTGGAACTCACTATGTAAACCAGGCTGGCCTTGAACTCACAGAGATCCGCCTGCCTCTGCCTCCCTAGTGCTGGGATTAAAGGTGTGCGCCACCACGCCTGGCCTTTGGGTTCTTTTAAGGCTGTGTCTTTGATTCTGGAAAAGGATGTATGAGATGCTGGAGTGGTGGCAAAGTGGGTCCAGCAGCCTCCCACCCCAGGTCTGGGTACACCCTAGCTGGGTTGTCTGGGTTCTGGGGGTGAGTCAGGTTGACTCACCACACTTGGCCTATGGCAAGGGTGGGCCAAAGATGCTTAGGGCTCCATGCAGGGCTGAGGCTTGCCTCAGATGGCTGCTTCCCCTCCCTGCAGACTTGGGCTGGAATGTTTGGTGCTAAGGATTTATTGTCCTTAGCACTAAACTCCTGGCTGGCAGGAGAGGAAGATGGCATGTGCCATGGGAGGCAGAAGGGGATCCAAGCAGAGCTAAGCAGACCTGAGATTCAGTCTTAGTCTGAATCTTCTTGGGTGAGGGGCCATGGGCAATGGCTTCCCTTTTCTGAATCAATTGGGGCGGGGGGCAGGGTCAGGGTACACTAGGGAGGACCTAACTTCTGAGTCTTAAATGAGAAGTCCCACTGAGTGCCTCACATAGTGGGGATCTTTGAATGATGGAGCCACTCTGCCTAGGCCAGACAGGTTTCCAGGACAGTCTCTCATCAGAGGAACAGGGTGGGCCTTGGTTTCTCCAGAGCATCACCATATCAGGAATCCTTGGACCTGCCCTGGGGAGTGGAGGAGGAGGGGCAGGCTCTTTATCCCAGGAACATTCCATTCCAGCTGCTCAGACCAGTGGGGATCCCAGCCAAGGACAAAGCCCAAGGGAACCTCTGCTTCTCCCAGGAGCCCCTTTCTATAGCATAGCCTACTGCGCTGCCTCCTCATGGTTCTTCTGGAGGCAGATGTGGAAGGGCTTGGGTGGGGGCAGGGCACTGTGGAAAGAGGTCATTAAAACTCTTGGAATTGTTCTTTCAGCTCCTCAGAGCCTCTTCTCTATGGATCTGGACTTCTGCGTTCCACTCCTTCCTGGACACCACCAGGAAGACTTCCAGAATTGACTCAGCACCCTCCTCTCAGGAGCCCTCACAGTGGCTAGGGGCTGGGTCCCGGGAACTTGCTTTACTATGAATTTCTTTACATATGCTGCACTTGACTTTGCTTACATTGTGCAACTGGAGATGTTACCATGGGGCCCCAAGATGCAATCAGATTAGCTGAAAGTATAGCGAACATTTCCAGTGTGTGTGACCATGAAAGGCTGTCTTTTAAAGATAGAATCCTCCCTCTTAAATCACAGCACAGCTGGAGTCCCCATCATCACTTCATGCCTAACAGCTCTAGGAGGCCTGCTTGAGGGAAAACGTTGGTCTAGAAATGCCTCAGTTTCCCTCACCCACTCCTTGTCCTCCCCTTGTGAGGAAGTGCCTGTGGCTCCTCATAGACAATCAGATACTGCCTCTAGGGGGACACACCTCTTTCTCTGGAAGAGGTAATGACAACATAAAACTTCAAAGTTAAATGCACATAGGAAATTCATTTCTTCAAGTATCCTGATAGGGAAGGAGGTACATTTACTCACACACAGCCCAGAGCTTGTAGGATTCTGCAGGGTGGTTCTGTATCTAGTCAATCCCCAGATGTATACATTCAGGAAGAATAAATCTCAATGTGAGGCTGAGATGTGGTTTTGAGGTTTACTTTGTCAGTGTCCTTGCCGCCTTTGAGCTGAGAGTTCCTGGAGCAGCTTCTGTTTAGTTTGGCAATCTAAGCCTAGTGACTGGCTTGCAGACTGATTTTTTTCCTTGACTTGGCTCAGAGCTGATGCTCCCCCATGAAGTCTCTGTTAACAAGGGTGTGATGAAGAACTCAGGGTTAGGAATGCCTTGTGTGAGACTGACACCCAGGGAAGTTGGGATACTGTGGCGGTTAATCACAATAGCCTGTGGTGTGGGAGTTGTGGGTGGCTGTATGCTCCTAACCTGTTCACTGGGGTCCCTGCAGGAAACAGACATACTCAAACAGAAGAGTTTTAAATAGGGATTGGAAACATGATGGCTCAGTGGTTAAGAGCATTAGCTGCTCTTGTAGAGAACCTGTGTATAGTATAGTTCCCAGCACCTACATGGAGGTTGACTACCATCTGTAACTCCAGTTCTGGAGGACCCAACACCCTCTTCTGGCTTCTTCGGTATTGCATGCACATTGCCACTTCCATATTTGCAGGCAAAACACAGGCACCTAAAATAAATTTTTTTTAGTGGGGGGACTATTTCCAAAGATGTGGGCCATGCCCAAGAACCCAACAAAGAGGAACCAGGTACGGTGGCACATGGCTGTAATCCCAGTACCCAGAAAGCTGAGGTAGGATGAGAAATTTAAGGCTAGCCTGGGCTATATAAGGAGTCCTTGTCTCCAAAGAAAGAACTGGGGATATAACTTCAGTGATAGAGTGTTTGCCTAGCATGTGCAAAGCCCTGGGTTCCAGAGAAAGACCAATTCTAAAGAGTGGGAAGCCTTAGCACTCCTGGACCTGGAAAGGAGACAGGGGTCAAAGGGCTGCTTCAGTTGAGATGCGTAGTCAGCCATGACAACCTGGGAGGGAAGAGGAGAATAAACACCCTCTCCTTTCAGTCAACTGCTGGGGCCCAATCATTGTCAAACACAGTATGAAGCCAAGGAACAAGGGAGCCATTGATGCTACCCACAGATGTCAGCCTCCCCAGGGCACAGGGCTGGAGAGTGGATCTGGAGGGGCTGGCCTCCCATGTACCTGGTGGTACTCTCCCAGATCCACAGAGCTGCTGCTTTGGCCTTCTGACTTACAGAATTATGGGCTTGTAGGAAGGGGTAGATGGGTTGAGTACAAAGGGGAAGGACAGGGCTGTCTTCCCTCCACTGTCTTCTGATTAATTTTCTACATATCCTAGCAACTTAGGTGGCTATAGGGATTGTTCACAGGAACAATGTCAGGCACTGAGTCGGTTTTTCTCACACTTGGAAACAATGTGCCACACCCAAACACACCCACAGGTGTGCTGTTGCCACAACAGGCCCCAGACAGTCACCCCCAAGCCATGACGGTTGACACAGATACATGAGAAAATGTACATCTTGGCACACAATTACACTGTGCCAGTCATACAGAACATATCACGTGCCTTGCCACATACATGCACACGACACAGACTGTCACCGTCACCTGCATGAAATCACATCGCAGGAGTAGGATGCCAGGAAACAGCAATGTCTCTGGTCTGGTGAAGCTCCTTAACCACTTTGGCCTCAGTTTTGTCTGTAAAATAGAAAACACTCTCTCCTCATCTGGAGTTATTACACAGAGTGATGTTTGGGAACGCCAGAGCATGGCGTCAGGACTGGAGTAAAGTGCGCCAGACAGGAGCTGATGCTGTGAGTTCCTGTCATTTCCTCACATCTATGCATGTGTGTGTACCGGCTTCAGCAGGTACCTACGCCCACACTGGACCAGCCAGACACCCTCAGGCACATGTGCCCTCCGTCAGCTGTGCCTGCCAGAGCACATACACGTTCATAGACAAGTTTCCTCAGCCCTGAACGCTTTCTCCAGACATCCACATGGCTCCCTTCCCATTCAATGTCATCTTTCAATGAAATGCATCATCTTAAGTCTGCAAACACCAGTGCGTCTGTTCGCTTCCTTTGAGATTTTATATATATAAATATATATATATATGTATTCTGCTTTATGTGACTCTTTTTAAAATTTTTTTTATTATTGTTATTTAATGTGTGTGTATTGCCTGCATGTAGGTAAGTGCACCTGTGTCATGCAATGCCCGTGGAGGTCAGAAGAGGCTGTTGGATCCCCTGGGACTGGAGTTATGGACAGTTGTTAGCTGCCATGTGGGTGCTGGGATTCGAACCTGGGTCTTCTGCAAGAACAACTAGTGTTCTTAACTGCTAAGCCATCTCTCCAGCCCCTGTTATATGTTTTTAATGTATCACTGACCTAGGATCACATCGTTTGTCTACCTCATTAGCGTATAATTGTCACAAGGATAGGGATGTAGTCCCAACACACAATAGTTTAACAGGCATAGGGTAAACTCGTACCGTATGTACACAAGCATACCAGGGCTTCTGGTTTTTCATGCCCTGAACCAAGCACACCCAGGGGAACCCCCACCCTAATAAGCTGAGTCTGCTGCATTTACACTATATCCCTTCATTCCCCAACTCACATGGCCAAATCCAGGATACAGGACTTGTCTTGCTTTGGATCTTAGGTGGCCAAGCTGGGATAGGAGGCTATATTTTTTGCCCTTCCAGCCATTTAGAGCCATGAGCAGAAGAGATTGAGGCCCCTAGCCAAACCCACAGAGCAGGTGAGGACTCACTCTGATGACCTGAGGCCGCCTCTGCCCTTTTGTTTTTTCCTACTTTGGCTAGAACCATCAAAGTTACCACTTCAGAGGAGTCTAATGAGGCTGGATATATTAAGGGTTTTGCAATTCTTGGATCAAAGAGGCAGGATAAATAGCATTGTCCAAGAATGAGCAGCTGATGCCCTGAGGGAACACGCAGAGCTGGCAGTTGACATTCTTGGACCACTTGGCCTGGCTCCTGGTGGGTTCAAACCCTGCCCCTTCCAGAGGGCCACCTCCACTTAATAGGGAGGCCCTACCTGATCTCTGTGGGACCTTGAAAGTACCCTAGTTTCACCTGCCTTTGCAGTTCAGAGTCACCCCGCTTGCTTCTTGGGGAGATGGGGTGGGCAGACCTCACTGGAGGCCAAGCCTCCAGTAGAAATACTGATACATTTCCTCTTTAATGAGAGTTCTAGAGTTGCCAAAGCAAAGTGCAGACACAGGTCCCAGTTCAATTGTCAAGCTGGGGCTAGTGTAGATGAGGAGGGGCATATTCCATAGTCTCACCCAGACCTCAAGTGCCACCCCACCCCCTGGCCCCTCCCACAATACAAGTCAGACTGTGTGGGGAGGCAGTGTCAGCCCTACTACTGACCAGAGGCCCTTCCCCCTTCAGGACAAAGCAAGCAATTATGCTCAATGTAGACAATTTTTATTGGTGGGCAGTAAGGGTGCAAAAAAATATCAACAAACCCAGAGGAATGGAAAAGGAAGTGGGGGTATGGCCTCCCTCCCCCATGTGTAAGTCCTATACCCAAGCTAGTCGGCAGGACTCAGCCAGCACCCTCCACACAAGTGCCCAGGCTGCAGGGCTCCTCCCAGCGAGGGAAGGGGAAGGTGCATAGGTTACACCCTGCTCTCGCTGTTTGGAACCTGTCCACTGTACACCTCAGCCCCTCAGGAAGGCTTTAGAGCTCGGAGTACAGGTTTCAGGAGATTGGACTATCCTATCCCTCTGCAAACCCAGGGATCTGCTTCATGCCTCAGTTTCCCTCCTCCCAGTGATTATCAAGGTTGGACTGCCAGGTTGTTTGTGATTCAGACTGACCCCACGTGAACAGGCTTGTCCCATCATACCATATTTTAGCCAGCGTGGGGGCTGCTGGGTCCCTTTGGATTGACACCCTCTGGACCATGGAAATCAACCCAAGGTGTTGCCATTGAGGCTCCCACTCCAGCTGGCTTTGTCTTTTCCAGACAAGTAGCCTCTGCGCCCCACAATCATGCAAGTCCAAAAGTGTGGTGCAATGACCAAAAGGTCCTCCTGTTAAGAACCCTGGCTTGGCTTTAAGCCCACAGGGGCATCACACAGGAAAGTCTGGTCTGTTCAATCAAAGGCCCAACCCTACAGTGCTGGGCCAGCTGGCACAGGAGGCCTGTCTCTGGTCATACGCTCCACACAAACATGGTGACCCCACCACACCCCAGGAGGCCCATTCCCTTCTGGCCAGAAACCAAGTCAGTTGCAAGGCAGCCAGGTGGGATAGGAGTGAGCCCGGGGCAACAGAGGCTGCATGGGGGTCACGTAGTAATTGACAGTGGTAGGCACGACTCCATTGGAACCTAGCCGGTGCCAGGCCAGGGCAGCAGTGGCAGCAGGGCCCTGTTCCGCCAGTGCCTGGAGGGCCAACATAGTGATGAGGTCCAGCGTCTGGCGGCGCTCATGGCTCATGAGACACACTGTGCTCTCGTTGACCACCTGGTGCAGTGTCACGAGGCAGGCATACCGGCGGGCTGCATCGGGCCCACCGAAGTGGGCTTCCAGGTAGCGCTCCAGAGTGCGCCTCTGCTCCACTAGATCTGGAAAGTCAATGAAGAAGCGGGAGCACATGTATCGTTGCAGAGCACGAACGTCAGTGCTGGGCCTTGGCCGGAAGCCTCGCACCAAGAGGTGGCAGTACTTGAGGAGGCCACCCCCACGAATCTCCTCAGGGCTGCGCGTGGCGATGACACGGTGCTGCAGGTGCTCCATGGCCTCAGCAAAGTCCCCATACAGGCTCTCCCCTGTCACGGTCGGGTGGAAGGCCTCAGACATGGGTGTGGATGAGCACTGGCCAAAGAGCAGCAGGGAGTCCAGGATGATCTGAAAGGAGTCAACACTGAACTCGAACTGACGCCTCACGGAGTCCACAAACTTGAGTTCCACGTTCTTACCACTCTTGTTAGACAGCGAGATGAGGCTCCAGCGGTCCAGGTCTGTGCACACTTTCACCAGCTTCTGCACATAAGCCTCTTTAAGTGTCAGTGGCGTGATCTTGGCCCGGCTCACTCCCGCTGGCAGGAAGTCTAGCAGGCAGGCCAGCACCACTGCCTTGGTCAGCTGGAAGGATGCTTCACTCTGGAGGTCCATCTGGAACACCAGGTCCAGGTCCTTGTAGCCTAGACCACTCTCAGGGTGCAGCACATGGCTGGCGGCAGAGCCATGGAGTCGCACACTGTGTACATGCAATCCCTGTTCCTCCAGGCTACTGCGGACCACCTGTGGAGGGGGAGAGTAGGAGAGGAGGGTGTCATTTGCCTGAGTCCACACCAAGGATTTCCAGGACTAATCATCAAAGTACCGTCCATCACTGTGGACCTCTTACCAGCTTCTGTGTCTCTGTGCCTCAATTTGCCAATTTGGAGAAGGGCCCAGTTGAAGGGATGACTCAGAAAGGCAATAAAAATAGCAAAGGCAAGTAATAGACTTTACATGGCACTTTATACATTAAAATATAACCTCACTTAATCTTCACAATAACCTGACAAGGAAAGATACTATATTACTCCTGCTTCACAGCTGGGAAATCACTTAAGCACTGCCCAAACTCACGGCTAGTGAACACAGAGCTGGGAATTAAGCCAAGAGTCTATGTCTTATCACTATCCTACCTGACCTTTTTAACACTTAGTACCACGCCAGGGAGTGTCCTAACTGCTCAGGCGAGCTGGTTAGCTGAACTTCATGCAGGTTAATATATTAACCTTCATGATAATTCTGTTGGGAGTATTTCTATTCCCACGAACAGATGGAAGACTTGGGTTCGGAGAGGTAAAGAAACATTGACAAGGTCATAGAGTAGTCAGGCTAAGACCTGAACCTAGGTTGGTTAGATTCTCAAGTCCATGTGTGTTCTTTCTTTTGACTATGACACATGGATCTTGTTTTGCCCTCACAAGGAACCAGTGAGGTACTAACTTTTCAGATGAAAACTAAAATTCTAAACATAAACACTTGGAATGGCAGGGCTGAGCTGGGAGTGTGGCAGAGCAGGCCTGTCATCCCAGCTAATAGAAGACTGAGGCAGAAGGACCACAAATTCAAGGCCAGCCTGGAAATCTTATTGGGACCCTGTTTAAATAAATATGGAAGAAAAAAAAGTGAGAATAGTCTTGTAGCCCCAGCTGTCCTGGAACTCACTATGTAGACCAGGCTGGCCTTGAACTCAGAGATCCACCTGCCTCTGCCTGGGATTAAAAGCATGCGCCACCACACCCGGCTGAGAGTAGTCTTTTTTTAATAGTGGAATTACACGTGTAATTCCAGCATTTGGAAAGTGGAGGTAGGAAGATCAGGAATTCAAGGTCTTGGCTACAAAGTGAGTTTGAGGCCATCCTGGGCTACAAGAGACCAGAAAAAAGAAAAGGCCAGATGTAGTGATACACACACACCTTTAGTCCCAGAACTCGGGATCTCTGTGAGATTGAGGCCAGCCTGATTTACATCATGAGTTCTAAGCCAGACAGAGAGACTCTGCCTCAAAAAAAATTTTTTAAAGGAGGACTGGGGATGTAGCTCAGTGGTAGAATATTGGCTTAGTGTGCTTGAAGCCCTAGATTCAATGCCCAACATTGAGGGGAAAAAATTACAAAGAAATATCAGGGTTGGGAGTTAAAGGCTGATCCTGTCTACTCTGGAGGGGGCATAGGTCAAAGTAAGGTGGGGATGTAGCTCAGGGGTTGAAGGTTTGCCTAGCACGCCTAAGCCTTGGGTTTGTTCCTCAATTCCACCCCACCCCAAAAACCTCAGGAAGCCTCTCAAGCCAAGTGGGAAGACATGTAGGACCCTGCCAGGACCCCCAGGACTGACATGGAAGCAGACAGGGAAACCTTGAAGTCTTCTGGAATGTGGTCCTTTTGCTGGAAGCATCTCCCTGGGCCGTGGCACTGGCACCGGGTGAAGCTTGGGGTGAATATGGACAGTTTGGTTTCTCAGCAACCCCAAGTACTTCACAGGAGGTCCTGAAAGTGACCAGGCAGCATTCCTTCCCTTAGTGACTCTGCAGCCCGCCTGGCTGCCAAGTCAGCACCTGGCTCTGGGGCAGGCCTGCCAGGGAATTACTGCAGAGAATGCTCCTAAATGCTGAGGAGGCAAGCTTCAGTGGGGCAATCTGAGGGGGGTGGCTCCCTCAAGGAAGACTTCCTGGAGGAGTTGTCATGGTAATGGGGGAGGGGGAGGAACAACTGGCCATAGGGGTAGAAAGGGGAGGAGTAGCATGGTTAGGTACTTAGTGGGTGCCAGACACTGGACTTCACCAGAATCCAAGGGAGGCTGGGGTGTTGCTCAGTTATACAGCACATGCTAATTGTGAGTTTTATCCCCAGCACCTAAATCAAACCAAACTAACCAATTAACCAAACAAGAATCTATGGGGGACAGAAGAATGAAGTCACCTGCTTATGGTCACACAGAGGTGCCTTCAAACCCAGATATCTCTGAATCTAAAGTCTGCCTTTTTGTTTTGGTGCTGGTGGCTGAACCCAGGGCCTCATGCATGCTCAAATCACTTGCCACACACCTAGTTCAGGCTGAGGGTTCAGAAGCAGCAGATTGGAAACTGTTCTAAGCCTCCTGCCCTTTCACAAATTCAGCTGAAGTAGGGTGCAGTGTTGCATGCCTTTAATCCCAGCACTCAGGAGGCAGAGGCAGGCAGATCTCAAAGGCCAGCCTGAGCTATATAGGGAGTTCCAGGCCAGCTGTGGCTACAGGAAGACCCTGTCTCCAAAAACCAAAATAAATAAATAAATGCAGCTGGGCATGGTGGCACATGTCTATAGTTCTAGCACTTGAAAGGCTGAGAGTTGGAAACCAACCTGGGCTATACAGCAAGATCTTGTCGTAAAATTAAACCAATCTCCCCACTCAGAAATGTATGTTATAGCCAGGTGTGGTGGTACACGCCTTTAATCCCAGCACTTGGGAGGCAGAAGCAGGAGGATCTCTGAGTTCAAGGCCAGCCTGGTCTACATAGTGAGTTCCAGGGCAGCTGGGGCTACAAGGAGGCCTTGTCTCAAGAAAGACCAAAAAAGACCAAAAAAAAAAAAAAAAAAAAAGTGTTATTGTTTTTGGAGACAGGTTCTTGTGTAACCCAGGTTGGCCTCAAAGTAGCTGAGGATGACCTTGAACTTCCAGTCCTCTTGCCTTTATTTCCCAAATACTGGGACTGCAGGTGTATACCTCCACACCTATCAAAGAAAGTTTTTTCAGGGGCTGGAGTGATAGCTCAGTGGTTAAGAGCACTTGCTGCTCTTATAGAGGACATGGATTTGGTTCCCAGCACCCACATGTTAGCTTACAACCATTTGTAACTCCAGTTCCAGAGTATCAGACACCCTCTTCTGGTCTCCTTGGGCACCAGGCACACACATGGCACACATACATACATGCAGGCAAACATTCATACATACAAAAATTAATAAATATTTTTAAAATTTTTTGTGTTTTCAAATTGAGGGTGACCCTCAGATCACTGAGGCCCAGAGTAGTTGGGGGTGGGAGTTGGGGAAACCTTTCATCAGACAGGGCCAGTTGCTGCAGCTAGCCTATGGAACATCCATCATGTATGCTGGCAGCTATGCCCAGGTAGCTAAGGAGAAAAGTACAGAGCAGACCATCCTCCTCCCTGACGTCCCAGGTGAGCTGACTAGGCTGTACTCAGTGCCAGCTCCTGCTCTGCAGCTGGTGCCCACCCCAGGGCATGGCATCTGGACTGGTGAGTAGGTAGCAATCCCCTCATTAAATCCCCTGCGTCAGGGCCATGGTGCCAGCTGTGTCAGCTAGCTAGTAGCTGTTGTCTCTTTCCCAGGTATGACTACAGCCAGTTTGACAGGCAGTCTCTAGATACTGCCACACCCAAGGACTGCAGGGCAGCTTGCAGATTCACCAAACAGACTTTCCAGCCACAGAGGGGGGTAGTGACTAGCCTCCTCGCTCCTGTGCCAAGGTGCTCAGTCCCCAAAACTGCTCTGTCCAGGCTTCTGCTGAGACCTCAGGAAGACTGCAGGCTTGCAAAACTTGTGAGAGAGACACTGAATGCAGGCCCTCTGGCTGCAGCTAGAAAGAGCAGACTGTTTAGTTCAATTCTCTGGGCCCAGAGAAAGCAAATGAATTATCCAAGGTCACAAAGTCAGTAAGTGGCTGAGCTTAACCAGAACCTGGTCTCCAGAGCTACAGACAAGGGTGCTCTTATAAAAGGGTGGGTCCGTTTAGCCAGGCACAAGCAAGGATGTTATTTCTAGCTACTCAGATTGCTACTCTAGGCAAAAAACTGTTGGAAGCAGAGGCAGATGGGTTTCATTTCCTGAGCCACAAGAAGTCTCAGCACTGGTGAGAAGCCCCAACCCGGCTCCTCCTTCCCCTACCCCTATGCATCTCAACAGTTTTGTTTTTGTTTTTTTTTTGAGACAGGGTCTCCCTGTAGCCCCAGCTGGCCTTGAACTCACAGAGATCTGCCTGCCTCTGCCTCCCAAGTGCTGGGATTAAAGGTGTGTGCCACCACGGCCTGGCTACATCTCAACAGCTTTTAAAGGTGTCAGCTGTGGGTTCCCACCAGCAGACAGATTTTCTTCCCTGTGGAAGTGGCTGGACAGCAGCTGAAGGTACCTGTTCCCTTTGGAGTCTGGATACCAGAAAGGAGAACCAGAAAGGATATTGCTGAGTGGTCAAATCCATGTCCATTGAACAGATGGAGTCACTAAGGCCAGCAGAGGGACTCAACAGGGAACCCAGATGTCCAACCTCAGTCCAGTCCTGAAGTCTTCTGCCAGCTCCCTGTTCTGGGATGACTCTGTCCTTAGACTAGGAGGATACAGTGCCTTCATACAATGAAGTTGGCTCCAGCTGATTTAGTCTCCCCCACATGACAAGAAGTCAAAGAGGCTAGCACCCAGTCATCTCTGTGTTGGAAGTATCAGTTTGGATGTTTGTCCCTGCAGAAGGGAACTATCACACTGGGCACCACCTTTCCTTCTCTTTGTGCCTGGGGTCACCGTATGTCCTAGGGAGAAAAAGCTGGCACAGTGGCACACACTTGTAATCCCAGCTACTCAGGAGGCTGGGGACAGGAGGATCACTTGAGCCTAGAGTTTGAGACTAGCCCAGACAAAATACAGGTAGACCCTATCTCAAACAAACCAAAACAAAAACAGCAAAAAAAAAACAATCAGAAAACCCTAAATTGGTTAATAATCCAAATGACAACGGGCAGTCAGGAATGCCTCAGCCAGTCTCCTGGGGACTTAGGGTGAGTCAGCCCTGGAGAATCCACCCTGGCCCCTCCTGCTCATTCCTAGTTCCTCAGAAGGGCAGGCAATCCCCCAGCGGGCACCCTCCCCCTCTGCTGGAGGCTATAGTAGCTGAAGGTCAGCTTCACCTGGCTTGTGTGTGAAATCCACCCATTGCAGTAACATCCAGGAACTATCACTAGATTTTTCTGGTTTCTACTATTTAGGGTCTCCCCTAAGACCTAGATGTTGAGCATGGGAGCCAGAGGAGTAAGAGTCCCAAATTTGTAGCACCTGCTCCTGAGAAGGTCCAAGATTCCCTGAATTTGATTTCCACCTTATTGGGTAGCCTTGGGTAGCTCACTACTTACCACACTGAGATCTCAGCTATAATGGGGACAAGAAGGACCATCTTCTGGTATTTCAAAACACTTAGCAATCTGGGGGGATGCAGAGCCAGGTAAAGGGAAGAGCTGGGGTTTGAAGGAGGAGGAGGCAAGCTACCAAAACCTATTCTTCAGGAGGGAGCGTGAACCCTGGACCAGCCTTCATTTCCAGTCTTGAGGAAGAGGGACACCTAAAATGGACACTTAACGTGCCTTCAGGGGTGGGGCTCTCAGGCGCGGCCACAACCTATGGGAGGCAGGGAGTCTCGCCTGGGATTCCTGAGCTTTTTCACCTAGTCAAGGGCTGTGGGACTACTAGAACAGAGTGCCGTAGAACCCCAAGAGAGGACAGGGGCAGGAGGTCCAGGGATGCCGGAGAAAGCTATTTTGAACCCAAGCACACATTCCCCATCAGAAGCTGCCCCAGTATCTTCTGCTCTTGCTTTGCAGGCGGGGCTGGTCCCCAATCCCCATTCCTCTCCCAGCCTGGGGCCTTAGTGAGTGGTCCCCAGGGGAATGATGGCTTCCCCCAGACTTCCTTTCCTCAGTTTCCCTAGCCGCCGGGCAATCCGAACAGGCTCCAGATGCCCTGCAGCGGAGCCCCCACCCTGGTACCCTCTCACCTGCACGATCTGCCGGGGCTGCACACTCAGCGTGGGGAAGTTGCCGCGCCCGTGAATGGGGATCGGCTCGCTCAGGAGCGCGTCCAGCCGCTGCACCTGTGGCCAGCCCAGCCGACTCTGGTGCCGTCCCGGGGAGGCCGAGGAGTCCTCCGGGTCGGGGCCGCCGCCGGCCGCCCCAGCCATGGCCACTGCCGAGGCTGCAGCCGTCCCCGCCTGCGCTGCCGCCCGGTCCAGGTTCTCAGCTCCACTCTCAGACGGCATTATTCGCCCGGGGCCCCGAAGGCAGAAACCCGGGGGTGGTGAAAGCGGGGAGGGCTGGGAGAGCGGCTGGGCCCGGGCCAAGGCTGGGGGCGCGGATGCAGGGACCCGGCGGCAGCGACGGCGAGGCAAAGCCAAGGTCCACCTCCGACGACCGCGAAGACTAACAGAGAGCCAAGGTGTCCTGGGCCCAAGCTGACTCTTATAGGCCGCGGGCCGCACGCCCATTGGTCGACACAGCTGTCATGCAGAGGGAGCCCCGCCTCTCTCCCCGCCCCCCACCATTGGCCGGCAGAACTTTGCAAGTGAGGCTAAGTTCTGAAGTGGATTCTGATTGGCTAGAAGGCACGCCCCTTCTCCGCCCTTTCTCTTCCCGGGTGGATTCCCTCCTTTGGACTTTAAAGAACTTCTGTTGAATGTGATTGGTTGGCCCTGGCCTGGGACTTACAGGGACCTGACCTGTGGAGTTTGTAGGGAGTCGGATCTCTGAGAATTCTCCATTTTTTTTTTTTTATTTTGCTGAGCTAACAGAAATAGAGAAATCACCTGCTATTTTCAGGAGCCTAAAGACATTGATCCACTTGCTCAACTCCAGTTCTCCGACAGTTTTCCGGAGTCAAGGAAAGGTAAAGTACTTTGTGTATAATGAGGCTGTTGCTTTCTAATAGACGCTCTTGATTGGCAGGGCATTATTCCCCCATCATCACACAGCATGTGAGTGCCACTTACAGTCCTGGTAGGGGGATAAAAATCTATGGAGCAGCTCCTTTTCCTATGCACCTGGGGCAAGCCCAGAGACGGCCTCTCAGGGATGGATGTTCATGTTCTCTTTCACTTTACAAATTGTAGAAGATGGGCCTTTTTGCTACTTTTGAATTTGTCATTTTTCTTCTGATGTTAAATATATGTGTATGGGGGGGATCAGAAACTGAGTCAATCTGATTCATCACTGCAGTGTTTTTTGTTAAGTATGATTCTCTTAATAATATATCAAGTTTAATATTCCCCCATTCTCCTGTAAGACAGGTTGACGAATAATATGACCAATGAAGGAGAAATAGCTACTACAGGGGCTGGAGAGATGGCTCAGTGGTAGAAACACTGGCTGCTCTTTCAGAGGACCTGGGTTCCTTTCCCAGCATCCACATGGCAGTGAATAACCATCTGCAACTCCAGTTCCAGTGGATCTAACGGCCTCTTATGGCCTCTGCGGGTCTGCATGCATGGGTTCATTTGCATACAAATACTCATACACATAAAAATTAATTTTTAAAAACAAGCTAGAGTTAAGGATGGGTGTTAGCTACCATGTAGGTGCTGGGAACCCAACCCAGAGCCTCAGTAAGAGCAGCCAATGCTCTTAACCGTTCCAGCCCCACTTTTTAAAAAAATATTTTATTATTTTTATTTTATGTGTATGCATGTATTGCCTACATGTAGGTAAGTGAACCCATGCCATGCCTGCAGAAGACAGGAGAGGCTGTTGGATCCCCTGGAACTGGAGTTACAGACAGTTGTTAGCTGCCATGTGGGTGCTGGGATTCAAACCTGGGTCTTCTGCAAGAACAGTCGGTGTTCTTAACTGGTGGGAGGATGGAAGTTCAGGGTCATCCTTGGCTACATATAGAGTTTGAGATCAGCCTAGGCCACATGAGAACCTGACAAAGAAAAGAAAAAGAAAGGGGGCTGATGCACTGACTCAGCAGGTAAAGGTGCTTGCCACCAAGCCTAACCATCTGAGTTTGATTCCTGGAATTCAGAGTGGGAGAGAACCGACTTCTAAAGATTGTCCTCTGACCTTTACTCTCACTGTGATACACATGCACACAAAAGTAACTGAATGAATGAATGAATGAATGAATGAATGAATACAAAAAAAAAAAAGCACTCAGGAGGCAGAGGCAGGTGGATCTCTGTGAGTTCAAGGCCAACCTGGTCTCCATAGTGAGTTCCAGGCCAGCTGGGACTACAGGGAGATCCTGTCTCAAAAAAGACCTCCCCCCAAAATAAACTAAAAGGAGGGTTGGGAGAGTAGCTTAGTAGTAGAATGCCTGCCTAGCATGTTGGAGGCTGAGTCTAGTCTCTGAACCTCAGACCTACCAACATCCCTGGGGCTACTGATGAAAGCACACAAGGTCCAAGCATAGAACTCTTAAGACTGGGATGTGGCTCAGTAGTAAGTGCTTGCTTAGCATGTGCAAGGGCTTCGGTCTGATCCTTAACACCTAAAACAAGGCATTTCCAATGCAAAGCACAGCTTTGTTAAGCTCCTCCCCTTTTTTCATCCCTTACCAGAAGGGAATAAAGAAAATGAACATTTAGTCAACATCTACCATGCACTAGATAATGTTACATATATGACCTTTCATTCCTAAAATTATACCTCAGCAGATGAGATCATTGTCCCCTACATGCAAATGAAGAAACCAGAGGTCAAGTGAGATGCTCAAAGTCACAAACCACTAATTGGTAGTGCAGGGCTTGAATTCAGGTCTCCTGACTCCAGAGCCCTATTTTTTAACCACTCCTCTTAGGTCACACAGATCACAGAGTCATTCTTGGCACAGCCTTGGCAGTACCCATAAGGTCCATCCATCTATGTCTTTATTCTTTAGTCAGCATATGTGTGCTGAGCACCTGCTGCGTACCTGGTACTAGGCAGGACTCTAAGATAGCATAGACAAGGTTCTTGTCCTTTGTCCTTCTAGAACTTCCTTTTTTTCTTTTTTGTTTGTTTGTTCTGTCTGGTTTTTTTTTTTTTTTTTTTGAGACAGTCTCCCTGGAGCCCCAGCTGGCTTGGAACTCACTATGAAGACCAGGCTGGCCTCTGAGATCTGCCTCCTTCTGCCTCCCAAGTGCAGGGGCTAAAGGTGTACACCACCATGCCTAGCTATTGTTTTTTGTTATTGTTGTTTTGATTTTTGAGATGGTCTCACTATGTAGCCCCAGCTGCCCTGAAACTTGCTATGTAGACCAGGGTGGCCTGAAACTCACAGAGATCCACCTGCCTTGGCCTCTCCAGTGCTGGGATTAAAGGTATGGTAGAACACACCACATCTAGCTTGTTCTGGAACTTCTACTCTAGAAAGACAACAGTGAAATAAATAAGACATTTCAGATAGTGCTAAGAATAAAATAAAATACAGGGTCCCAGGAAAAAATAATGGGGGTTGTGGGTAGATAAGACCCACAACTATAACCATGACAGCTTCCTAATGAGGTGAATTTCTGTTGGGTCTGCTGGGTCCCCTTCTGCCCCAGGAACATCCAGGACATCAGTGGGAGATACCAGGCTCCATATTCCTAGAATTCTGCAGGCTCCAACTAGGAGGACCTTTGTCAATCACAATTCACTTACTTCTCAATTTATAGATGGGCAAAGTAGGTTCTAGAATACAGAAGGGATTTACTCCTGGTGGACAAGCTAGACTGGAAACCATGTAGGAACTTGGAGTGGTACCCCTCTTATATACTTGATGAAGTTTTCCAAGGAAACTCAACTCCCTTCCTCTCTCTTTCCTTCTGTCTGGGCTAGGAAGAGCAATTAGTCAACACATGTACTATGAATCACCCTTCTGGTAACACTTCCATTCCCAAAGCTGATGCCTTCCATGTTTACCCAGTGGGGATGGGGGTGACTTGAGGATGTAGAGTTGAGAGACAGCAGAGGTATGCCCAGTAAGGTCTTTCATCTCCACCCAAACCAACTTTGAACTTATCCCAATGAATGGAGGAAATGCAAGCTGGGTGTACCTTGAGTTTAGTTGGCATCTGGATGCTATAGGTAAACCTCCCCTACTTCCTGTATAGATTTCCCATTTTAATTATGACTCTAACTGATTTTAAAAGGGAACTTGCTCTCTATGACAATTGAGTCTTCATGATATAGCTCAGTCACTTTCCCTGTCCTGGCCTCAGTTTACTATTCTGTAAGATGGGCGAGAAATAGGGGCAGGCTCTCCTGTTAACATCATCTGTGATTTGAGGGTAAGAAGGGAGAGTCTGGATGGCTACATTGGCTCCTCAACTCTGGGACCTCAGAGAGCATTCTAGGACCTGATAGACCTCATAGACCCACATCACTGAGCATGCTCTGTGCCTCATCTGATAACAGAGCAGGAGGAATTCCTCTCTTGCAGGAGAGGAAATGGAGACCAGAGAAATGAAGTCATCTGTGTAGGACCCCAGGGTTGGAAGGACAGACTTCATACTCTGGTCTGGCTGAACCGTAGGTCCAAGTCCTACATAGGACCCAGCCCAGGAAGATGACCTTGGGAACTTCAATTACGCACAAGTAATCTTCTACTGTGGAAGGTCGCCCATCCCCTCCTGTGGGCCTTGGCCTCTGGCCCACTTCATGTCCTCATGGCTAAAGTAATGGGCCTTGTCATTACTGGTAATTGTACCCCTACCCTGAATAATGTTGATATCACCATCACCTCTCATCTATCCTGCTTGCTTGCACAACCAATAGTTCTTTGACCCAGCAGGACATTTAATTCACTCATTCCGCTCCACTTTTCTACCACTATTCCTTACCTCCCTCAGTGCCTGACTTTCCTCCTTAACTTGCATAGAGTCCGGGGACACCGCTGTGATCACTTCCCTGTCTACCCCGATCGCCTTGCTCCCCTGCTCATCAAATTGCCTGCACCTGGCAGAACCACATCCTGACTAATCCCACACAGCTGATGGAAGCCAGAGAGGGACTTAGCCCTGCTGATTTCACTTGGACATATGGCACACCACTAACTGTATGACCCGGCCACCTTCCTCTCCCCCATCCTGTGACACAGTCAGACAGGGTCCTGCTTTTTTTTTTCCTTCAACCCTGATAATTTCCTGTATCCTCCACTCCTTGGATGATTTTGCTTGTCATTTCCCTGGAAAATCAAATAATTTGAAGGGCATTTCTTTGCACCCTCAACACCTGCTGCATCATCCACCTGGCCCTGAGCTGCCCATGCTGCTACTAGGATGCACCTGCCTGTGCCTCCTGCAAGCACTCCAGGTTCTTCTCACCTGCTCCAGGAGGTTCCCCTTGGACTTTTACTCTCTACCACTGGATTGTTCTAATCTGCATTACAATTTCTTTAAAACTGGGTGTGGTGGAGCTCAGGGTAATTCCAGTAATGGAGAGGTAAAGGCA